AGGAATGCCTATACAATGTTCATACTGGAGTGCAATTTACTATATATGGGAAAGAATAAAAGTCCTTTATGTAAATGTAATAATATGCAAGTAATACCTTCAAAAAGAAATTAAAAAAAAAAGTCTCTTGTGTACAGAAAGTTAGTCTACTCCAGCTGTCCTCTCTCACTTTGTGGGGGGAAGACATTTGGGGGAAGGCCAAAATGCAGATATTCACAAAGCATCCAATTTTTCGTTCAGCATAATGTCTTAATCAGCTTTTACAGAGCTGCTCTGCTCTGTACCAAACATGCTATAAATGTGCAATACATCCGTACATGTAAATAAGTCACACTCCCTGTGGTGATGAGAACAAGATGACTACATATTTCAATAACTGCACATTGCTGCAGGTAATAGAAAAGCAGCATCGTCTAGTTGGTTTTCAGCTGAACAGGGGGTTAGAGTTGGAACTGCTGAATGCTATGGCTATCCCTACGTTATTTCAAATTCCTGATCGTACAGTTTTATGAAAGATCGCCAGAAATCATACACATTAAAAGCACAGATGTCCAACTTGTGACAAGATCCATAGACTGTAACCAGCTAGCAAGAACTTGATCTGCTCTGTAATCTGGTCTTTCTCCAGAAGAAATGACCACGCATCTGTTTACATGTCCATCAAATTATCAAAATACAGACATCATCTGTCATGATCCCACACTCAGCCATGTGATGTGAAATGCCTGTTTTGTGATCAGATGATAGGTGAACTTCTGGTCATGTGGGGCTGTTAAATGCTGAGATACTGTTTGCAATGCATAAAATCTGTGCTGTGAAGGTTGCTTGAGCTCAGAGAAGGGGTGCTGTGGTGCGTGGACCTGTGTTCTTTAGCTCTCTGCAAGACCTCCTGCAGTTGCCCTACCTGTCCCACAATGTTCTGAGAGTCAAGGGGAAGTGTGGCCTCTACTCTAGGCTGGAATCTGTTCTTGCCCTAAGAATTATAATGTATTTCAAACTTACTAAAGTAATTAGTTCAAAAGCATATTTTGTGGAGGACAGGGAAGAATTTGGGGAAGCCAGATGAAGTGTTTTACACACAATGTTTTGCAATTCCCTAGCTAAAAAGCAATTGAATAAATTGTCTTCAGGTGGCTCACAGTGTAAAATGGAAGTAAGTGGAATCTCAGGCTTTTAAAAAATATAATTTTAGAATGAAGATGTGTTTTTATAAAATCTCATCAAATTTAGAAATCAAAATGATCTATTGATCCCTTTTTTTCTTAAGTGCAGCTTATTTTGATATCTCAATATGTCTCTTTACAAATGCGACTGTTCACTTCAGAACCTTAAAACTTTACTGCTACTGCTATAGTACGGAATTTATGAATAATCAATAGGGTTACATAGATTCTGTTACTTATTCATTCTAGATATCCTAGATATTTGGAGCTAATGTTTTTATGTGTGTTTAACCTAATATATGTAGAATTGCTCAGGCCAGAATTGGAGCTGTGTCAAACTACGAAAGCTTTTGGCTTTATCCGTTTACTGAATCATTAAGCAAGTACTCTTGTGTTTTCTGTATTTAGGCTCTTAACAATTATTGTCTTTATGTTATAAAGGATTCTGTTTTACATGATTAACATGACATATTCATATAAGTCAAAATGCTCTCCAGTGTAAATTAGGTCTACAGAATTTACCTAAACATTTGTTGAGTGTGAAAGTTCTACAGCAAGGTCTTTTCCTAACGCATACATTTATCAGCTAAAATCTTGATTGTTTTGCCTGTATTATGTCACTCACTTCTGGAAAGAACAGCATCCTGCTGTTTGTGAAGCTGATCTCCTGCTGCTAGTTTAGCCACTTGTAGGATTCTGTCCCAGTTCCTCTAATCCACTCTCTTTCAATAGCACCATATTTGGAGCCCTTCACACATTCTTTTGCCGCTCTGTTTGGGATGCTCTATGAGCTGAATTAGAATTTTAATGTTCCGTTCAAAACAGAAGGAACCTTTTTGTTAAATGAGAGTATAACAAATAATCTCCCCTGATTCCTTGGACAGAATTTCTATACATGCACTATATTATTTTCCTTCAAACTATTGTCCAGAAGTTTGGGGCAGTATTTCAATATATTGGTTTACTTTATATAAGTCAGATCCAGTTTGAGGTTTAATGTTGCAATAAGGCCTGCTACCATCTTAACTTGTTTCTTTCCTGTTATAACTCCTCATTCAGAGTTCAGTGCTCCTTGTTTCCATTATGTCAAAGGTTTACTGATACCTTTTTGAGCTCCTTGTGCAAGTCAAGGCCTAATTAAAGCAGAGAACCGAAAGGACTCCAAAAATGGTGTTAGAAATGACACCAAAGCACAAAGTGCACTGTAGGTGTTTTTGCTGTACTTTCAAGTATATCTGTTTTGTCAGTAGCTATTTTCTTATCCCCACATAAAACGAGGTTTAGAGACAGCAACTTAAAGCATGGTTGGTGTACCTATATATACATTGTCTGTCACTGCACTGCACAGCTAAATCTGTTAACTTTGGTGGAGCTGTTTGTGGCTAAGATCGCAACTGAAAAAACACGATAGCAGAACGTGATCTTTTTTAATGTAGAGCCCCTGGGCTTATGCTTGCTTTAAGAATTGTTCTTTAGTGAATAGGATTTAGTTTACTGAAAAATAAAATCGTGATTGAATTATGATGCTGATTTTACTCTATGAAACAAAGATGTTCCTTGGACACAATGCAATATTGCCTGAGTCTCTTCTGTGCAATTTAAAAAATTTTCAGTGCAGTACATATAGCTTACCTGAGTGTATGAAGAGAATAAAGACACTACCCAGGTGAAATGTATGTTAATAATTTCATAAAGTGTCTCTCACTTGTACCAAACTTCCCGCACTGGAAAATTTAGAAGGTTTTTTAGAACATGTACCATGTTTCTTGTAGCTGTAACTTTCTGCAGTCCAGAGTTCCCTCGGTGTGCTGGGTTATCATCAGCAGGAGCCACTGGTGCCAGGACCTGATGAGAAACAACATCTCAGGAATGGGGTTCAGGATGCAAGTGGAAAGCGGAAAAGACAACGGCTACAGCAGTTTGATAAAAGATAAATTGCTATCAAGTTTTACAGCTAGGAATGGAACAGAGAAGATAAGAAGAAAAAAGGGGAAAGCAAAAGACTTCAGAAAGTGAAGGTGAAACAGGGAGAGAGGTAGAGAAGTACAGGAGGAAGTAAAGCAAACCATACAGAAGAGAAGTGGGACAAAGAAACAAGTATTATGTGGCCTCCTTTCTTGCTTGCATTTGTCAAGTAATGTGTATATATGATTTGTTCACAAATGTGTTATCATTTCTAATGATAGAAACATATAAGAAAGAAAGACATTTAGAAGTTTTTATCAGGGGATTTATTTTATGTAATAGAAAATGACAAGATTTATAAGTGATCCATCTATGCAATATCAGCTTGAAGACTTGTGGTTCTGCTGCTCCTTCTCTGTTTGTACTTTAAAATTAATTGAAAGCCTCATTGTTTCGTTTAAACTGTGAAAGCTTCCAAGGTCAATGAGTGAGGTAATTGACCTGCCTGTTGTAGGACAAAAATATGTATGTTAAATTGCATAATTAGTTTTAATTACATAATTATGGTGTTTAATGTGTGGGGGTCAAAGGTTACTGTTACATTTAGAAGTCATGGCAAGAAACACAAAAATAAGCAACATAGTTTAATTCTGTGTTTGTTTAGGTTTTAGAAAAGGAGTCCACTGTGATCTATCCTTGACCTTGGATATTTGATGATTATAGCAAATAATATATTGCTGTTATACTTTTTGGAATCATAGAGACACCTTTGTAAATGACTAAGTGACTTTACCAAAGACTTCATTTAGGTTTAGAGTACATGGAAGTTAATCAACACTGGGAACTCAACTGACAGCAATTTAATCTGATTGGGTAAGGTAATTACATGATTACCAGGAGTGTTTATATATGGACAAGGATATTTTTATTGGGAAAAAAACCTAATTGCTTTCTTACTGAGAAGAGAAAAAAACAAACAAATTTGTTGTCACAGGTTAAGAGGACATCCTTCGTTCCTTGAAATAGCTTCTTTTCATATTTTAGCGACAAAATTACCTCATAATTTGCAAATTTGCATGGGGATTGTGTTATGAGTTCCTCTGTTTCTAAACTAGAAGTAATGTCATCATTAACTTGTTTTAAGAAACTCATTGCTTACACATTATTTGTGTGATAGACTAAAGATGTCATGATGCTTGTAATTCATGATCTCTTTTACTGTGTGTAAACACTGTTGCTTAAGTACAGGTTGATTTCGCCAAACTTAAACCTAAAGATCCATTATACTAATGGGTATTTTTGGGAAGGAAGGCATTATTTGGTTTTCTGTGATGATAAAAAGGAAAAAAGCACTATGTACAAGATAGGTAGATGAAAGATGGTGTTCCTAAAGGGTTGAAAAAAAAAGTCTCACTTTAGGTTCTCTGAATGGTCCTTTAGAAAATGCTTTTTCAGTCTATTGACAAGGAAGGGAGTGTTGGGAGATGAATCTTCATTAACAAACAGTAACCTTTGTGAATACCTCCCTGAAGTGCATTACAGAGTAGAATCCTATTTGGCTAATAAATAGTGGCTTGTTCCAAAGCCTGTTTAAATAATGGGCCAGGCCTGGCCTTGGCACTCTATATGGTTGTGTTAGACACCAAAAAAAGACATTGAAACTTATAAAAATAACTCATCAGTAATTATTGAACACATTCTGCCAATGGAAATGGGATACAATCCTTTAAAGGCTGACTTACAAGGAATTAAAAAGTTAATGAACTAAATGTTGAATAAGAAATAAATGAATTTTTGAAATTAACTATATAATTATGGAAGTTCTGTGATACATTCCATGTTATAAAAATAATTTGTTCTCCCTTTTGCTAATTTTTCCCTAACTAAGTTCTTTAGAAAATATTACAATTTTGAATTGTTTTTCTAAACCAGATGATCCAGTCACTGTTGGAGGCACATAGCCACGGCAAAATCTCATGCTGTACATTGATCACCTGTCCAACCTTTGCCTAGAGTGTGATCCCCAGTTCCTTCAAGAGATCCATCTTTACCTGTCTATAAAGAAGAGGAGGAGGAGGGAGACATCTGGGATATTCAAGTATCAAAGTTTAACACCAGAGCAGGTTGAATCTCTGTTTATATTATTCTCTATGTATGTTGCTAGTATTGACTTGGATATATGGCTGAAGATTTTTTTCAGTAATTATATAGTATGCTCTGAAGTTTTACCAGTGTTAAAGCATTTTTGTTTAGACTCCTCACTTACTGAAGTTACACATGCATTTTTTGTAGTTCCGTGGTGTGAAACTGAATCCAAAGTCATTCTGCTGTTAAGGAAGTTGGCTAATACTGGGCACGCCTGGCAGTCTGTACCTGTCTCTCAAACATAGGCTGACCACAAAGACCAAAATGGCTTGTTTGAAACTATTTGCTGTGCTGTAGTTGTTCCATTCTGTATTTCGCACCCGCAACTAAGTCCAGGTCCCCAGCAAGTACGCTCATTTTTGTTCACTTGCTTCAGGCAAGTTAAACTTGCTTCTTACTCTTCCTCTTCCATTTCCAGGAGGACTTTGATATCCAAAAAGCAGACAAGGTTTCACTTACTGTCCTAAGGACTGCCCCTTTAGGAGTCTAGCACAGCCCACACACAATCCTGGAATATGTCCAACTTGTTCTTTGAGCAGAATGTGAACCTCTGACCTTCTGGGCCTCCGGCAAGAGTGCTGCCTACTGAGCCACCAATACCCAGGCCATCAATAAGTTTTAAATGCCAGTTGCAGACTTCACAGAGATAATGACTTCAGTGTGTAAAGGTTTTGTTGTGGAGGCTGCAGTCTCACATATGGCGTGACAGAGTAAATATGCTAAAACCATAGAGAGCTGTTGCATAACTTGCCTTGATATAACAGTTTTTGTAATATGTTTCAAGGCATGGGATATTATTTAAAGGGACCCTGTTATGTAGGCTTAGGCCCAAAATGAAGCTATTATAAAAAGAATGTTTAGCAAAAACAAAACTATGTCCATGAAATTGTTGGAGTGGGAATTTCAGGGTAAACTTGCTTGGATTTAAACAGTCGCCTGTATGACATTGCACTGTTGTGCTAGGGAATGAGAACCAGCAAATGAAAATACTGTTAAGTGAGAATCAGAAACTGAAACTGAGCAGAATTAAGATATTAGAAGTCTATTGCTATTGTTAGAACTTCTTAAAACTCTTACCACATCCTGAGAAAGATGAGATGAAAAAATAAATTCCAACTGAGCAGTTCAAAGCATTATTGACCCAGGTAAATAAATGTATTTGCATTTCAGTTTTATTTTTAACCTGCTCTCAAGTAAGTTTTTGTATTTTATATACTTATAAAGCAAAATTAATATGAAATAAGCTTTAGGGTTTTGTCACATCTCAGTTTTATTGATGTTCTCTGTTTTAAAATCAGCATTAAAAGCATATAAAAGACATGTTGATTTTGCAAAATTCAAATTGATAAATGTGATTGCACAAATAGTTATTTATAGACATGTTGATGTTTGTGAAATTCAAATTGATGAATGTGATTACACAATTTTATTTAGGGACTTGGATCGAGAAGGAAAATGTAGCCAGATTCAAGCTAGGACTTACATTATGGAAAGGCTGCTAGATAAATTGTGTACACCTTCTAATGGAGCAAAGGCCAGGAACCCAGACTCCTTTTCCCAGCTGAGTGCCCAAATCACTAGGCTACAGACTCTTGCTCCCTCTTGTGTTCTTTCTCTGGCCCAATGAATCTTGAATTATTTTCTGTACAATGATACAGTTTCAACAGGACAGTTCTAATATATCTGTAGCCTCGTCCCAGCATTTAACGCAGCCTGTAGCCTGTTGATTAGAACATTCTGATAAAAGACTTTGCCTTGAGTTCTAGACTGAAGAAGAAACTGGACCTGGGGATTTTGCTTCTGGGATGAGCAGTCCTGCTGCTAGGTGAGGAATGACTGCTCTTCATGTGCCATTTTAGAAAGAAACAGCATCTGAAGAATTCTGTAGGAAACCCACCTGGTTGGTGTTTATTAGGCTGGCTTAGGCTGGCTTTGAGAACACCTGTTGGGTCAAACTCCTCTGATCATCTTGCAGGGGTGGGCTTCATTTCCAGATCCCAGTCAGGCTCAGGCATAAGCTGTGCAGTGAGAGGGTCAGTCCTGGCTGGGTGGGTAAACTCTGGCCATGCAGAGACATGCAGCTCCTGTGACTGGCCTATCTTACTGTCGGAAACTGTACTGTCTTCAGAGAATACACATCTCCAAGATGAGAAAATGGCCTTGAGGATCACCATTTTGGCTGGAGGTGCCTAAATTCTCCTCATGCCCCATTTTGAACTCCCATATTTTTAGGCCTGTAATTAATTTATTTTAATTCACCAACTCCCTTGAATGTAGAACTGAGGGATTTTATGAGCCTCTTTTTCAAACGTAAGTTAACTTTGAAAGAATGTGTTATAATTAAACAAGATGATAGGAAGAATTTGTGGTTCAAAAGTGCATAGACAGTTATGAACTATAGACAAACACAGTATGTTTTGAAGCTCTAAAAAGTGAAATTCCTTTAAATGTGTTAATGCTTTTCAGGCAGTTCTGTAGAGCAGCATGTATTAGATCTGAACTCAGGAACAGTCAACTAAATTAACTACATTGCAGTTATAAAACAAATGTTTGTCAAAATTCCTTTCTTTATTCTTAGGCTATCCTTCCCCCCCCTCCCCACCTTCCTCCCCCCATATGTATGTTTTTACTAAGTCCTGCAGTTCAGGTCCTTATTCATGCAAATGCATTTAACTGCCTCAGTGGAATTATTCTGGTGAGTAAGTCTGTGTCTAAAATCAACTAGGATGAGTCTACTTTTCTTTTTAATAGGTATGCTAACTTTGAAAATGACATCTGTGAATTATTTTGAGTCTGAAAAGCTACTGACAGTATAAAATTAGAGCTGTGAATTTTGTTGGCCGTTCTTTTATTATTGTTTCTACCTGTTTAAAACACTGAAAGAATAATGTGATTCACTACACATTACTTTTCTGGCAGTAGATGCATCACCTAGTTTGGTATCCAAATGTAAACTATTGCTGCTTTGTAATATGGTAAATTGGGGGTAGTGGAGGTGGGAATGGAAACTTATATTCGTGACAGGCTGTTGGTTTTAAAGACAAGTCTTTTTCTGCCTTGCTAGTGTCTATTTTCATTGCAGTAGAGCTTTTTATGTAGTAGGATAGCACTCAGCAGAAGTAGAGAGGATGCAATCCGTATCCTGGTTATTGACTGAGTAGATTTGTGTGCAGTTCGTTTGGCAGCATTTATGTTTCCACACACAGGACGCTCACTATCTCATAATCTGTCTTTAGAAGGGCTACCATTTGCACAATCTAACTCTCTCTCTCCTCTCACAGTGAACAGAAGGTAAATTGATAAAAGTTGTAAGTCTACATCACATTAATGATTTTGTGTGCGTGGGGACCTACGGGTGTAGGGAGCTGCTTAGCACAGTGTTGGTGTTCATTAGTATGTTAAGGGGGCACTTAGATACCAGAGATTAATTTGGGGTAAATAGCTAAAAAAACCACTGCAATAACCCTGTAATAATGACAGAGAAGGACAGAGAGGACTGAAAGAAAACTGGAGTTGGAAAATTGAGTAGGAAAGAAGAGGAAAAGGAAATGTTTCTACAGAAGGGAAAATTTTTAAAAGATATGATTTGATAGAGTGGTAAACTTGGAGGTGAGTAGAGGTCTTCAAGAATGAATAAATTTTGTATAACTATGGATAAACTATATTATATTTATCCTAGTTGATTTGAATCAGTGTAATTTGGGAAGCCCTGCATAAGGCAGTTATAATACTTGAAAGTTGTGATCAATAAGCATCTTGATAGAGTGAGGTAACAGTCAAATGTAAGACAAGCTATAGAAATTAAAACAGGCTGTCGGTTCAAATCACATGAAAGTTAGTATTTAATTTGGGAATAGCATATTTTCAAGATTACAGGTAGGAAGGGGAAAAGAAACCACAGTAAAGATGTTTTTCATTTTATTGCATATTTTGTTATTTTTATTTTATATGAGAGGTTTATTGATGGATGATTAGTGACAATGATTCCATAGCCTCAAATCACTTGGTGTCTTGAACAGAAAAAGATTGCATGGCCTGGTCTCACTGTCCCCTCTTCAGTGTTGCCACAAAGGAAAAAAAAAAAAAAAACCAAAACTGTCTACAAATGTCTGAAACTTTCTTGCATTTGCTCTTGGAAATACTGAAGCTACCGGGGAATTTTTCAAGTTAACAGAGTTTTTGATAGAAATAATTGCTTTAGCAAATCTGAAACTCTCTCATATCAAGGATAGTTTAAAGAAACTTCCTTTAGGATGCTTTAATTTCAAATAGCAAGTAACTAATTTATTGAAAATGGAACAGCTCAACAAGAAACTTTGAGATATATCTGCATTACAATACCCAGAGCGTCATAGTTAGGGTATTATCCTTTAAGATATGCAACTTTAGTTCAATTTCCTTTTCTGAATCCAGATGAATAGAGACTTAAACCTAGCTGAATATCTAATGTGTCCAAGGCAACTGTCATTACCACTGGACTATTGTCTGTGATAGGTTGGGTATCTGCTTTTGTGGAAATTGTGAAAGGATTTGTCCTAATACTAACAAGACCCTTCTGACATCTCCAGAATTCTTATAGGCTAGCAAAGAACCTTTGTGCCCAGCTTTATTCATAACCCCAGGCTCTGAAGAAATGCCTGCAACAATCATTATTTTGTGTATTCATACCAGGCAACATTTATTAATCTGGACTCTAAACTGAATCTCAATCTCAGACTCCATATAGAGCTGTCTTTCCATGCCTCTGGTTATTCCTGTCAGCTGTCTCAGTTTTTTCTCTGTTTTTCCTATAGCCATAGTTTTAACAGTTCAACCAAATCTGCCTAGAAGTAGTAGTTGGGTTATAACAGCAATTAATTTATTGTCATTTTTCAATATAGTTTTCTGTCTCTGTTTTTGCACCTTATACGACAAGGTGAACTCAGTGGTGATCACTGTTGAAGATGCTTCTAGTTAAAATACTAGTTGAAATACCTACT